TGCAGGGGTGCACATGCAGGTGGCCCCATAAACTCTTTTCTCAGGGGAGGGACACAGTCAGAGGAATATAGGTAAGGCTCAGGGGACGGTACACAGGCCTTGCCTGATAGAAGGGTAAGAGCTTACTTACATGGTTTGGTTGTATCCTCACCCAAATCTCACCTCAAATTTTAATAATCTCCATGTGTCAAAGGCAGGACCAAGTGGAGATAATTGAATCATGCAGATGATTTCCACCATACTGCTTTCATGGAAGTGAATAAGTCTCATGAGATCTGACGGTTTCATACATGGGAGTTCTCCTGCACAAGCTCTTTTGCTTGCCACCATGTAAGACATCCCTTTGCTCTTCCTTCACCTTCTACCATGACGGTGAGGCCTCTCCAGTCATGTGGAACTGTGAGTTCCACAAAACCTCTTTCCTTTGTAAATTACCCAATCCCAGATATGTCTTTATTAACAGCATGAGAAGAGACTATTACAGTAAATTGGTACCAGTAGAGAGAGGTATTGCTGTAAAGAGACCCAAAAATGTGAAAGTGACTTTGGAACTGGGTAACAGGCAGATGTTAGAACAGTTTAGAAGGCTCAGAAGAAGACAGGAAGATATGGCAAAGTTTGGAACTTCCTAGAGACTTGGATGGCTTTGACCAAAATAGTGATATGGGCAATATAGTCCAGGCTGAGGTGGTCTCAGATGGAGATGAGAAACTTGTTGGGAACTGGAGCAAAGGTGACCCTTGTTATGTTTTAGCAAAGAGACTGGTGGCATTTTGCCCTTGCCCTAGAGATTTTTGGAACTTTGAAATGGAGAGAAATGATTTAGGGCATCTGGCAGAAGAAATTTCTAAGCAGCAAAGTGTTCAAGAGGAAGCAGAGCATAAACGTTTGAAACATTTGCAGCCTGATGATGCAATAAAAAAGAAAAACCCGTTTTCTAAAGAGAAATTCAAGCTGGCTGTAACAATTTGCATAAATAACAAGGAGACAAATGTTAATCACAAAAACAATGGGGAAAATGTCTCCAGGACATGTCAGAGACCTTCACAGCAGCCCTCCAGTCACAGGCCTGGAGGCACAGAAGGAAAAAATGGTTTCATGGGCTGGGCCCAGGGCCCCCTTGCTGTGTACAGCCTAGGGACTTGGCGTCCTGTATCCCAACTACTCCAGCCACGGCTAAAAGGGACAAAGATACAGCTTGGGCTGTGGCTTCAGGGGGTACAAACCCCAAGCCATGGCAGCTTCCAAGTGGTGTTGGTTCTGCTAGTGCACAGAAGTCAAGAATTGAGGTTTGAGAACCTCCGCCTAGATGTCAGAGGATGTATGAAAATGCCTGGACATCCAGGCAGAGGTGTGCTGCAGGGGCAAAGCCCTCATGGAGAACCTCTGCTAGGGCAGTACAGAAGGGAAATGTGGGGTGGGAGCCCCCACGCAGAGTGGGGCATTGTGTAGTGGAGCTGTGAGAAGAGCACCACATCTTTGAAACCCCAGAATGATAGATCCATTGACAGCTTGCATTGTGCACCTGAAAAAGCCACAGACATTCAAGACCAGCCTGTGAAAAAGCAGCAAGGAGGAGAGCTGTAGTCTGCAAAGCCACAGGGGCAGAGCTGCCCATGGCCATGGGAGCCCACCTCTTGTGTCAGTGTGACTGGATGTGAGACGTGGAATAAAAGGAGGTCATTTTGGAGCTTTTAACTATGATGCTGGATTTTGAATTCGCATGGAGTCTGTAACCTTTTCATTTTGGCCAATTTCTCCCATTTGAAACAGGTATATTTACCTAATGCCTGTACCTCTATTATATCTAGAAAGTAACTAACTTGCTTTTGATTTTACAGGCCCATAAGTGGAAGGGATTTGCCTTGTCTAAGATGAGATTTTGGACTTGAACTTTTGAGTTAATGCAGAAATGAGTTAAGACTTTGGGGGATTGTTGGGAAGGCAGGATTGGTTTTGAAATGTGAGGACATGAGATTTGGGAGGGACCAGGGGTGGAATGACATGGTTTGGCTGTGTCCCACCCAAATCTCACCTCAAATTGTAATTATCTCCATGTGTCAAGGGTAGAGCCAGGTGGAGATCACTGAATCATGTGTGTAGTCTCCTCCATACTGTTTTCATGGTAGTAAATGAGTCCCATGGGATCTGATGGTTTTTATAAATGGGAGTTCCCCTGCACAAGCTCTTTTGCCTGACACCATATAAGACATCCCTTTGCTTTTCCTTCACCTTCCACCATGATTGTAAGGCTTCCCCATCCCTGTGGAACTGTGAGTCCACTAAATTTCACTCCTTCATAAATTACCCAGTCTTAGGTATGTCTTTATTAGCAGTGTGACAACAGACTAATACACTTACCTTAAAAGGACTATATGTTTGTATACCCTCTAAATTCGTATGTTGAAACTTTAACCCCCAATCGGATATTACTAGTGGGTAGGGACTTTGCAGGTAATTACACTTAGCTGAGGTCATGAGGGTGGAGCCACCATAATGGAATTGGCGTCCTTATAAGAGAAAGAAACTAGAACTCACTCTTTTTGCCATGGGAGGCCACAAGAAAATGGCTGTCTCAGGAAGAGGACCCTTAGCAGACACGACTCTGCCAGACTCCTGATCTTAGATTTCCCAGCCTCCAGAACTGTGAGAAATAAATATGTGTTTTTAAAGCTACCAGTCTATGGTATCTTGTTACAGCAGCCCAACTTGATGAAAACAGGAATAGGCTTTTTTCCAGGGTCTAGGATCCCTGGGGCTGTCCTGGCTCTGGCAGCACGTCTTGGCTGGGTGAGCTGTCCTTCAAATAAAGCCTCTTTATAAATTTGACTAGTTTGATAAGTTTCTGCTACCTGCAACTGAAAGAATCCTTATTAATAAGCTTATAATGCCAAACAAGTGGTTCGATTTTTATAAAGCATTTATTTCTATCATAACTTTCTAAATCAACCTTCTTCCTCCAGCACTCTGGTAAAAGATACTCTTGAAAGTCATGAATCCAATGGCCTTTCCTCCATTCCCAAGTAGCTGATCTTCTCTATAGCATTTGCATATGTTAAACATTCCCTTCTTTTTGAAAACCTCTCTTAACTCTGGAATAATAAATAAGCTTAAAGCTCCTCCTATTTTTCAAAGAGCTTCATTTAAATAGACTTTGTTAGCTGTCTCCCCAACTAGAAATGTTCTTCAAAGTATAATCGTCCTTCCTGGCTGAAACCATTTTCAAAAGCCATTTACTGGGAATAATTATTTGAGTCATAATAGTGCTCTCTCATTTCAATGAACCCATTTGTTCTTATACCTCAAAGTATCACCTCCTTAAAGATTAATTTCAAACTCCTATCTCCATCTTTGACTTTGATACCAAGTTCCATTTTTATGTCTTCACTTACTGGATGCTTACATTTGAATTTTCAGCTTCAATGAAACCACAAAAATTGCACTTATCTTCTATAGCTGGGTCTTTCCCATTTGGGGTAGATTTTGTCAGTTTTGTCAGTGATTCGTTTTCCGAGTCCCCAGGTTTTAAACAAATAATACCTTTGATTCCATTCTATTATTCTTGCTACGATGTCCCAATGATTCTTTTATTGTAAGATGATTCCTATTCATCCTGTTTTTTGTTTCCCTTGCAGCAACCTCTATCTGATCTGCTTCCAGTTCCTGTTCTGCTCTAGTTTACCTTCACTCTTTTACCAGAATAATCCTGCTACAGTAGCATTTTTTTCACATGGCGTTTTTTTCCCCCTGCTCAAAAGCCTTCAATGTATCTCTGTGGCCTGAGGAAAAGTCCAAACATCTTTGTCTGACATGGAGTACCCTGCAAAATACAGGCTCAACTTTGATCTCTAGTATTTTATTCTACTCGACTTTAAAATTAACTCTCCATCTCTTCCAGGTCCATCTTGCCATACATCTCTGAACACAAATTCCTCATTCCTATATCCCTGCCTTCACCGCTTCTTCTCCACTCCTTCATTTGAACGGCCATCACCTGTTCTTCACCTGTCCAGAACCTTAGTGATAAAATTTAAGTCCTAGTTCTTTTGTAAAACCCGTTTCCCACTTCAGCTCACAGCATATTCTTTCTTCCTACTCTGAACTTTTTTTTATCTATACTGTTTGATACTTATTAATATATTATCTTGAACTGTTACATATTTTTGCATGCTAAAGTTGCTTTTTATACCAGATTTTAGCTGGGATGAAAACAGTATCTATGTCTCACAATTTGGTTTTTCTGTCTTCCCCATGACAACACACCCCATGCTATACACATTGGATCCTTAAGAAATTTTAGCTTTCAGGCCGGGCACGGTGGCTCAAGCCTGTAATCCCAGCACTTTGGGAGGCCGAGGCGGGTGGATCACGAGGTCAAGAGATCGAGACCATCCTGGTCAACATGGTGAAACCCCGTCTCTACTAAAAATACAAAAACATTAGCTGGGCATGGTGGCGCGTGCCTGTAATCCCAGCTACTCAGGAGGTTGAGGCAGGAGAATTGCCTGAACCCAGGAGGCGGAGGTTGCGGTGAGCCGAAATCGCGCCATTGCCCTCCAGCCTGGGTAACAAGAGCGAAACTCCGTCTCAAAAAAACATATGAAAAAAAAAAAGAAATTTTAGCTTTCTATTTCTTTACTCCAAAACAAACAGCCATGCTTGTATGAAGTCTTTTTTTCATATGGTGTCTGGTATTGTGAATGCTAAAGATACTGATTTTTAAAATGCTAAACTCTAATAAAAGTTCCACTCTACTCTCATCTGTTATAATAATCAATGTCCTCTCTTCCTCTGACCATTGTCTTTGTTTCTGAAGAAAAATAGATTATTTTCCTGTTTCATAGAAAATAATATCACACTCAGATAAAGTTTTCTTGTCTATAAGCCCTTCTTACCTTCACTCTTCTGCATGTAATCTCAGATCCTAGCAGATCTGTTTTTTGAAGTTCAAAGAGAAAAGAATCCACAGGTTCAAATGTATATAACAAAAGACATGGTAGTATCCTTCTTTCTTTTTATTGAAAAGAAATCATTTCTATTCTAGCGCAAACAATGTATATTTTACAACATAAAGCAAGATATAATTTACATATTATATTTCTTATGAGATCTTTATACCCTAAATGTCATTCCCTTTTTTATTAAGTCACCTCTTCTGGTTTAATTTAACCTGCCAAGTACCCTACAAATCAGCATCTTGTTTGGAGGGAGATTGAGGACACAGACAGTTCCTATGTATTCACCTGTATCTGGTATCATGATGGTGAGGAACAGGGATAAGTCTTGATGTTTGTGGCCCTGAAGCCCTCCACTGACAACTGGCTTAAGATCCAGACCACTTCTTCTCCAAATCACATACCAAACTTGTATTTTTAAAAATCGACAATAAATGAACAAATTTGAGAGCCTGCACTACATGTATACTTCTTGATCAAGTGCTTAGATAATAGATGCTTGTGGTATTGGTTCACCAGCAGTGAATATTACTTTGGCTGACCAGCACTGGTTACTCTATGATATTTCCAGACATCACTTGCCCGAGACATTGAATAGAACCCCCCAATTTCACCTGTCATTTGGGTTTGTGGGTTCAGGCTTTGCTGTTTACCACTGGAAATGGATGTCCAAATGAAAATTCCAAATGATTTTGCTTCACATATCCCTCTAGCTAAGATTTCTCCCTTCTCAATAAAATCTTTTCATGTATGATTTCTGTTCCCTCCCTATAATTCAAATCTTAGCCATTCTCTCCGAACTCCAAACCTCCAAAGTTCACCATTTTCTTGGGTTATACTCATTTCACTTAAGAATGTTTCAGTCTGTTGGGATGTACTGTTCTTTCAAAACTTGATAATCCACAGCAACTAATGGGACAGATGGATGAATGTGGAAACTCTTCAGGAAGCATGTAATGTGTGCTGTTCAGCAAGCCTACTTGAATCATTCAGTAACAAATGTTTTAATAGTAGGTTAAAAGAAGAGAGAATCAATTGGTGAAAGCAAAATGTATAAGATGAGCTTCATTATTATTTAAAGAACTGCAGAATCAACATTTGAAATACAATTTCAGATTGGTGGCTATTAGACTGAAATAACATCACCCTTAGCTCAATCTGATATGCCAAGGGAAATACAAATATGTGCTAAAAGTGCATCTTAAACCCCAAAATCCTTGTCTGTCACTCAGAGTACAAAGTTGGCATATTTGACCAAAATTGATCCAAAGTTTTTTAATTACTCACAACTAAAAGTTATTAGAACTAAGCCGGTCAGGATGAAAATATAAATTAAAAATATTCTGTTCTATGTGTCTTAAATTATTCTTTGGTCAAATGATGTGATTTTTGAGAGATCTGAAAATATAAACCTATTTCTCATTTCCAAATACAAGGTTATAAGTATGTACAGCAAGGTAGCATTTCCTTACTAGAAAACAAGGCTTCCAGGTACCGTATCATCCCATTTACATTGTACACTTTAGTCCCTTCCTCCCATGGCTACAAAGTGCTGGACATACAGAGAATACAGGAAAGAAGAAAGGAGCAAATGAATAGAGCCTCACAACACCCCTGTGAGGTAGGTAAGTATTGTTAACCCCATTTTACAAATGGACAAACTGAGGCACAGCATGGTAGTAATGTAGTTGGTCAAGTCCACCTGGTAAGTTACAAAAGCATGGCTGGGAACAAAGAAAAAGAAATGAAAGATCAGTCCTGGCTCCCAGCCCTAGACACTAAACTTTATTTCAAAATATTAAAAAATAAAAATAGCCCACAATTGCCTTTTAAATGTTGGAATTTGGAAAAACCTTTAGGTATTCCACTTAAACATGTGTCTTTCATATTCCTGTTGAGTGAAGAAAGCGTAGATGACTAAATAGTTTTCCCTCCTCTCACTAACTGCAATTCCCATGATAGATCAGATGTATCAACATTTCACCAGAGCTCAGGCTCCAAACTCAAGGACATTTTTATAGCCTCAAATAGTTTCTAATTCATTTAAAGCCCTAATGTGAAAATGAGACCTGTCCTCAAACAGCTGCCCTATCAATTGTTCTCTGGCTTTAATGAGAATTTTGTGTAGAAAAAGAAAAGCAGCAGGATCCCTAATTAATGTCTCATCACTATAGAGAGAAGAACAGTGGTGATGGTATGTAATTTGCTTTTTGTATTGTTTGGGAAACTGGAAACTCAAGTTCGCAATATATATATATATATATATATATATATATGTATATATTCATATATATATATATTCATATATATATATATATATATACACACACACACACACAGTACATATATAACTGTGCATCTCACCATCCTTAAGGCACCAAAGAGATGTAGGCATGGCTTTTACGACTCACTCTTTGTGTTTCTAGAGAAATTTCTCTTCCTCTCTCATGTGAAAAGTATTTCTTATACCAAATGGTCTGTGATAGCAAATCATTTAAACACAACAAATATCTTTAACTTAAGATAACTGATGGTTTGTGTGGGGTGAGGGGTGGTGGTGATAGTGATATAATCTATAGCTTCGAGCTTAAATATATAGCTTAGATGTAGAGCTTAGTACTTAGAATTAGCCAGACACAGCCAATTACATTGGTTCAGACAGTCCAGTGACCAGATGTTGTGCACAACTCTTTTTTCAGAGGCTGCTGGAAAAACCTTACCATGACCAACAAAGATGGAGACAATGAGAAAGGGAATTATGTCTGTCCGGCACAGATTCTTCAGAAAGACTTTGGCTTTTCAAAAGCTGCTACAGCTTCTATAAAGAGAACTGGGAAGAGGACAGGTAAGGCACTCAGGTTCAAACAAGTCAATGAGGAGACTAGAGGCAATCATTCTGGATATATATATATATAGTTTCTTTGGCTGCTGTAGTTTTTAAAATAACTTTATACACTCATGGGGGTGGCTGGGTGGGCTGAACCTAGCTGAAGAAGCTTGGAGTATATTAAGCAAAGCATGAATAGGAAGAAAAACAAAATAAGCACACACAGAAACAAGTGGTGGTGGTATCCCAGAGGGAGGAAGAACATTTGTTAACTAGTTTTCATTTTGCTCCTCTCCTGCTTTTCTCTGCCATGGTCCCAATGTTTTAGTTCTGTTTTTTGTTTGTTTGTGATTTACTTTTTTCCCCCAGCAGATGAAGAAATAACAGAGCGGGATAGGTGTCTTATGGTTTTTGATTTCTTCTTAGGCCTGTTTAATTATTTTTTCCTCAGTTGACTGTTGGCACCTGGTTCCTCTGTAAACTATATTCCTTGGCCTTCAGTCTCAGGTTGGCAATGCTGTTGGCCATGTTGATGCCCTGTGCAGGGCTATTGTTGGCACATGTGGCAGAATATGTAGCCATGGCGCTGTAGGGACAAAGGAGAGAGCAGGGAGAATAACAGGCATTAGTTTCACAAAGCTGCAAGTCCGTGCCCCAGATGGATGTACTCTCAGCATGGGGGCAGGCCGGGGCAATGGCTTGGACTAGATGGCCTCTAGGGTCCCTTACAGCCCCAGCTTTCCATTCATCTAAGGTACTTAGAGAAGAGTGGCCGTGTTTTGAAGAGCAGGAGAAAGTGATGTAGAGTGAGGAAAGGGAAGGAGAGGTATTTGTTGTGTTGGTAACAGTGAGTAATGATTTATTTCTGGGGTGAGAGAAGAAAGTTGCTCAAGTTGAATAGCAGGTGTTTCATCCGCTGACTAATTAAAACGCTATTTAATCTCTCTTCCTGCCTACCTCCCCAGCCTGTAGGAGCAGTGAGGAATAGAAACAAGCATTTGAAAATAAATTAAAGGGAATTTTGCTCCTTCACCATAGATAGCTGACCTTAATTCTAACACATTTTAAATAATCAACAAATGCCATAATAAATAATGTGCATGGAGAACCAGTTAAACAATCCAAGATAAGTTCTCTGCCATCCTTGATTTACTGGTTGATAGCACCAAGCATTGCTGAATCAAGAGGTTACTAACCCACTGGCCTTGATTTTATAACCTCTCTTCAGAAGAACTTGAATAGCACACTCTGCCATTTGGGTCAGTTATTTTGGAAATGTTTAAATCTCTTAGATAAACTATCAAAGGCTCCATTTTCAGCATTCTTGACCTCAGAGGTAACTGTTTCTCACTGTCCTTATTGCTGAGAAAGATCTGAAGTTGTTTTTCATTGCCAGAGTTTATAATTAAGACCTGAGAACACTGCTAGGCAGAAATTTATCATTGGTGGGTTTCTGTTAATTGCATCTATGAATCTGTTAAAAGAAAAAGAAATGGTTTCATAGACTTAGTAGCAAATTACTCTTTCTACTAAATAGTTAAAAGTGTACTCATTTTAATTAAATAAAAATGTTTCTAGTTGCTTCTAAGATTAGCAAAATCCCTTTCAAGTGAGGGCTGGAATGAGATAGACTTATAAATGGAATGACATGTGCTCTTCTGTTGCCTGCATTCCAATGGAATTTTGTCAGTCACATAAGAGTTTGTGGTTCTGGGGATCAAGTGACAAGATCAGAAAGAGAGAAAAGTAAAGCTACTCCACAAATAGAATATATCATTGATACTTATTTGAGACACAATGTAGTCAAAACTCATAATAACCTATTTCAGCTCAGCTACTAATAATTAACTCAAGAAAATTAAGTTAAAGAAATATAATGAGTCCCAGATCACTAGGTCTTTCCAGAAATACACATCTTTAATTAAAAATCTTTATAGACCTGGTTAAGTGTATGGTTGTGTATGTGTTTACACACATACATGTATGTGTTCTGACACAAGGAGAAAGAAAGGTTACAAAGGGATCCTACTTTCTTCTATTTCATTTTTGCGTGCTTCATTCTTTCTCATCATTTTGTGGTAGCTGGTCTCAACCCTCTAGACAAGGTTAGGTTCTTTTACAGCACACTGAACTTTTGCTTTTAGCATTTAATTCAAGTTTAGCTAATAATTTGCTTAGTATCTATCACTGTTTCAACTATGAACTCCATAGATCAGACACCACATCGGCCTTGTTCACAAGTGTATCCTCAGGTAGAGATGACACCATATCTAGTACTGTATGTTCAATGAATAGACAGATAACTAAAAATAGTTAGATATAATATGATTAAATTGATTCCTGCTCGATGTCATTGGTTTCTGTCATTCTGCTAAGAGTAACGATCTCTAAAAAAAAAAAAAAAAAAATCTTATCACTATGCTTTTATTCATAGGAACTGGTCCTTAAAGTCAATTTTACTATCTTAATAGAAAGAGCAAAGTCAGTAGCATATGACAGAAGCAGTAGCTGATGACTGTATATACTTGGATCCATCAAAAAATATCTTTCACAATAAAAACTGAAGAAATTATTAGTACAATCTAGAGTTTTAGAATAGACTATCACTTCTACCACTGCCTACAAAATGATAGAAGCAGAAGAGTTCCCAGTTAAGGTAGGTTTAAGTTAGAAGTGAGATAAATGACCAGAACAATCCACTAAGGTGGGACAAGTTTTTTTTTTTTTAAGAATGTACCAAGAAATGTCATTTATTTTCAAAATCCATATACATATTATCATTTAGTTCATGGTTCCATTCAAGACCTTATAATAAATGTATGTAAACTCACAAAACCCATATTCAAAAAATTTCTAGGATATGCCAAGAACCCAAACATCTAAATAGCTGAGAAAAAAAGACTATTGGATTTGGGAAATGTTCCTAAGTCATAGTTTATTATAAAATCAACCAAGTCAACCTTTCTCAATCAGTTTTCTGTGAGAGAATTAAGCCCTAAAGATGATGCACAGTTAGTATAATTTTAAACACACAGAAGAGAAATTGGAATTAGGAGTTGTCTATATTATTTGCAAGTATTGAGAAATAAATTTGGATGGCTTGGGAAAACAGGCTAAAACTACATAAAATAGTTCTCTGATGCTAAGTTGTAGATTGCCATAGAATATTGTGCTCTTAAGTACTTGGTCTAATTTTTTGAGGGATGTGTTTTTTGTTTTTTGAGATTCTGGACAAGCAAAGTCCTATTTAACAAAAATTTGCTCTTTCTTAGATAATCAAAGTTGTATTCCATCTCTTTAGCTGAAAAGGAAGATTGGAACCTTGGAATCTTTAGTTTACTGAAGATACTATTGCTGTTTCCCAGAAATGTCTACATAGTAGTGATTCCAAGTGGCCTATTATATGACCATTTTTGTTGTAGTGATTTCAGAGTCAACTACCTTTACGACCTGATATTATAGTGAGGACTTAGTAGGGAACATATTTCTTGGAAATACTGAGTTTCTCTCTCGAGTGTAGGCAGGACAGTAATATCCCAAATGAGATGAATGTTGATGCACTTTCTATCTCAAACACAAATTAATGGGAATTAAGATCATCGATTGCCTGGGAGATTGGATATTCACAGGAACATTTTTCACGTAAATGGCAGCCCACTTTTCCACAGTAAAGAACAGTGCCCTTGTCTGATTATATGATGACATTATTATAAAAACATCACCAAAGGCAAGTCTGTGACAATGCCTTATAGGTATCCCTCAAATTAGTGGAGCTTGAGGATTAAAAAGCAGTTGTTTTTAGTGAATGAATTTTGCAATTCTCTAGGAGCTTGATAGGTGATAACATCTTCACTTGATAAATGCTTAGGAAATGTATAAACTTTCAAAATTGATTTAATTTGTTCCAGCATTCCATAGCCACAAGAAGTAGGCTAAAAGAACTGAAGCCATCTTAATTCATAGCCTCTTAACAAAAGTTTAGAATATGTAATCCTACAAATAGGGATTCCAATAATATTTTGGGCACATATTAAATAATTGCAAGTCTGTTTTCCAGTAATTTGACATGGATCTAGCTTCTCAGTTTATGCTAAGGGTGCCATATAGGCAAGCAGTGAGCAGTCCTTGGACACACCAGTGAAAAGCAAAACTTATTATTACAAGTCAGAAAAGACAGAATTAGTGAGTACTCTAAGAGTAGCTTAGTCATTCTTCAAATATGGCATTAGAAGTAAGATGGAGAGGACCTGTCTCCTAAAGTGTCAACAGATGCAAGACAGCCTTGAGCGGCTGCCAATATGAAATTGTTCATGACCATCTGCTTTCCATGTCATGGAAACTTCTAAAGTTCTGCTTTAGGAAAAGAAAAAGAACCCTGAAATGTTTTCTTAAAGGTCCAATGAGGGTAATTAACTGTTTTCAACCAATTTATAGAGCCATTCAGAGCATGTAAAATAGCCAGTCCTTCCTATACAGGATTCAGCTTGCTCAGATAAAATGGGGAGATTGAAACTAAGTGATCTGTACAGATTAAGCACATGACAACAACCAAGAGCCTGCTTAACAGCACCAGAGATCCTGCCTGTTGGTCTTGCCTTCTAAGTAAAACCCATTTATTCTTGGAAGTAGGGTACAGACATAAGCTGAGTCCTGGGACTGAGTTTCTAGGCTTTGGCTAAAGAACCATTTTTAGTTAGTTTTAGTAAAGTTCTTTGTGTCAGTGACCAAGAAACCACATTACTAAATAAAGTGCATTGAGAAATTAGGGATTCATAATAAATGCTTGATCCCATCTGTTGACTCAGCTAGTCTGCACTGGGACTTACACAGAGCTGACACATTTAAATCAGCTTCAAATGTTTCCATCTCCTTATTTGGAGATTCCTAGCAGATGCAGCACAGCCATAGATAGCAGAATGCTAACCACCAGCAGGGTTAGAGTACTGTTTTCACTGGGGACAAATCATTTTTATCATTTCAATCTACCCTGAAAGCTGTGAGAGGAAAAAAATATGTTAAAATGACTACCAAACATTGAGGAAGTACAGAAAATACTATTCGTGCTATGATTTTAAACTCGGGAAACTTATGAACAGCTGCTTCTCTGCTTTCTAAAAACCTACAGTGTTAAGTCCTGAAAATCACAAAACAATGGATAGCTTGGGGAAAAAATAATACCAGACTCATTTTTAGCTCTTTGTTTTCTATGTGGCCCTTTGAACAAATGATGGCAAGGTGTTTAAAATTTCACCCTAAAAACAAATCTGTCAGCCTAAGAAGTCTATGAAATCCTTGGGTTTCACCAGCTCAGGATTTTTTCAAAGACTATAGGGGTTATGGTGTTCAAGATGTGATGCATAGAAGTTGCAGAAAGTCTCTTTGGTTAGTTCTTTTGTCAGTGCAAGAACAACGGAGGTATACTTGCTTCACCTGACAAAATGTAATACCAGTTTTCCTAGGGAAATTTACTTTTATAAAGAGATCTGGTAAATTCTTTTGAAAGGGATCTTTTGTGATGTAAATAATTAACTTCTGTTTCTAACTTCTGTACTGAAATTCAGAAGTTGATTTTCTAATACGTATATTTATCTCTTAAAGTGAACACACTTGTACATTTCATTAGTAAGCTTTCAGTTTGTACTATATTTTCAGTGATTTTTCTGCCATTTTTAGCTTTTCATTTTAGAAATATTTTCATATACAGAGCCTCTTGCATCTTTCTTTTGTTGCAAGATTTTTTTTTGGAAGTGCACATTGCTTATTGGTAGGTTCCAAACACCCCTGTGAAATAAGCAATGGGGAAACTAGTGCTAGCTTCATGTTAGATACAAAGCTACATAAGAGAACAATGATCTCACTGACCTGAGGAGCAGCAGATGCCAGGACAAGAACATAGTTCTTCCAAACCCTGTCCTGTAACCTACAAAGCCTCACTATTTAAAGTGTGTACCAAGTGTCAGCAGCATCAGCATCACCTAGGAGCAAGTTAGAGATACAGAATCCAAGCTCCACCCTGGACTTAATGAATCAGAGCTTGCACAGTCACATGATCCCAGATACTTCCTGTGCACAGCAATCTCTGAAGAGCCCTGCTCTAGACTAGTATCATACTACACTTCATTTTGTGGATATGCTTTCTCACAGCTCTGGTTCCCAATAGTATTCCTCACTTGAGGGCCTCACTGCTGAAATTTCTAGAACTGCAAACCCCGCTTTCTTAGACACTCTAAATTCCCACTTAAACCCTACCCCAAGCAGCCGCCCTCTTCCCCCTCTGACAAGTTACCTTTTCAGTGTCTTCCGTTAGAATCCGTTATGAAGCCCCTCGTGTAAACAACATCTTGGGAGGGACGAGGATCTATTTTTGAAAGTGTGAAAGGGAGAAATAAGCCAAATGCGTTCAGCAGATGTCAGGCAGCACCATGACCACGATCAAATGAGGTGGGGAGAAGGATGGGGAGGGAAGCTTTGGACAGAGATAGTTGGCCTCTTTCACTCATCACTAGCTTCCTTTTAAGCCCAGCCCTCCCTCTGGAAATGGCACTTCAGGTCAATGCTGCAAAACCAGGCCATTCACTATTCACCTCATCTAGGAAAGGATGTCTCTGGGAAAATGTTTCTTGGCTACTTCTGCTCAAATAGCAGTCAAAAGTTCAGGACTTGGTTGATCACTGCTACCCAAGAAGTAAAGCACTGCAAGATTAGTGAGTCTGAATAATTCTGGTGCTTGCGTGTGCTTTAATTCTTACAATTTGCCTAAGAAAAACAGTTCCGAGTTAAGCAATGGGTATGGGTGCCAAAAACAAGCTTCCTTTAACTGGCCAAGGATGGGTAAAGAAGACACCTGCCAGACAACAGTGTCTGTGTTAGGGAACGCTTTGTGCCCCTGATGTCTCAGTTGCCTGCCTAATGTCATCACCTCTAACATGCTCAAGGGAATGAGTGAGGTCATGATGTGCTATAATTAGAGCAAACTATATGTCCCAGTTTGCCAGAGACAATCTGGTTTATACATGTTGTCCTAGTATAATTATTAATAGCACTCCCCTTTCACTCTAAAAAAATCCCAGTTTGAACAATAAATTATACAGCTACCACTCTGGATATAAAAGACACCTAGAAAAAAAAATGTGTTGGCTATTTTCCAACCCATAATTCTGATCATATGCAAATAACTGCTTTTGTGCCTTGGTTTTTCTCCTTTCTTTTTTCAGGGAATAACTGTGGAAGTCAGCAAACTATCCTTTCTGGCAAAACTGTCTTCTCACTGTCCCTGGTTTGTATGACCAAGCCACATCTATCAGTCCAATGGTATGCCCACACCCCACAGAGCGTGGACCCCAGCTGCAGGTATGCCTCACTGATCTAAGATAGCTCTTGAATAAAAAGGGGATTTCAGATAGTTTTCCAATCTTATACTTTTTTTTTTTTTTTTTTTACTATTTTTGATACAATGCAAGGTTTAATTTGAATGAAAATACAGTCATGTGGCTTAACATGTTGTATAAAAAGAGGGATCGCAAGCATTAGTTCTACTTCTGCTTGCTGAAGGCTTAAATTTGGGCAAGTATTTAGTCTCTTCTTTGGAAGCAGAGCAAGACAGAGCTATCACACAGGAGTGTTCCAAGAATTAACCAAGAGAAATGCCTTTTAATGAGTGTCACATGTGAGATAACTAACTTTACGTAATAGTACCAACAAGAACAGTGAGTTAATTTTTCATAATACAAAAGGTCTATCATTTCCTTTGCTTTGAATCACTTGTTTTTCTTTTTTATTTCCTTAACAATATTTCCTATCAGGTTTCAAAGTGTGAAATCATAACATAGTTTGGTTCTAAACATAGTAGAAAATTCTCCAAGTAACAGAATAGCTTTTTGCTACTTTTAGAAATTAACCAAAATATAAACACTTCAGTCAACATTGGTTCAAAAAACATTGTCATTGATTAAATTATTGCTTTAACATCACTTTTCTACTTATATCTGAAGATTAATTTATTCTTCATACAGAATATGAACAATCAGATTTTATGATATTTAATTTTTACAAATTCCATTTCTAAGAGAGAAATGATATAAAAGCATACCATGAAATGAGTAAAACCTACTAGGTTATATGATTTTAAGTGAAAAGAGCAGGATACAAAATAATATATACACTAAGGCTATACCTGTATAAAATATTGAACTCTAATCACAGAAATGAATATACTACTTATGTCAAGATGGTGAAATTATGGATTTTTAAAAAAATGTATCCAGTATTTCTACATAATTCTTTCCATTAAAATAGAATATTTCCAAAAAAGGCATGCATAAATTGCCATGTTAATATTGCCATGTTAATATTGCCATATGCTAAACACATATGATACAGACACTGAGGCTCACACGGCTGAGGTCCAAGTAATATAACCCTATATTAAATCAGGAAGGATTTCATCCCCATTCATGCAGTGTGCTGTGTGCAGCCTCTCACTGGTAAGGACCATGTGACAGCCATCTGGCTTATTTATGACTGGTGTGAAAAGTTCTTATGGAGGACCCAGACAGAAAAAGGAGCAATACTTCTTGGTTGTGATCAAATTCAAACCAGAGATCTTGAAACATCAGGCTTTGAACCACACCCATTTTCCAATCCATTAAGCATGTTCTTGAACACACTAAATTTCTCTTATACCAATATATATGAGAAATAAAGCAGCCTCCATTTACTTAAAATATTAGAGAATATGTGATTTCACAATGATCTTCAAAAAATGTGTTTTTAGTAAATCTTATAGGAGAGGAGTTTAAATTTAAAATAGGGCACACAGATATTACTAATGTTTCAAGCTCAGCAAGGCCTACCACATCTGAGTGCAACAGGGCCCAGAATAAGACTTCCCCAGACACTGGGTCTCTATATACTAAGACCAAAAGAATTCAGGCTAATTTTATAACAGGAGATAAAAAAGAAATTTCCAAGTGCATTTACCATGTTTCTCTAAATGAACTGATTTAGAATAGAAAGAAACATTTAGATGAGGCTTTTTGCTTTGATTAAAACTGTCAACCTTTGAAAAACATTTGCATTTCAAGATGTGGCATTTCACATCAGGAGTTCAACTTCATCTGAGACATAATCTTTTATATTTCATTTAAAACCTCTCCTTAAGCCAATAAATAACCTTGACAATAAAAAGGTAAACAAAAGCATAATAAATGAATTTGTGAATAGATCTTCCTCCACTAAAATCAGCCAGGGAGAACACATAGGCTTGACCTCGTTTCTCAGAGTACTCAGGTTTACTTTCAAAGAAAGGCACTCTAGACTAATCCAATGGGTTAGGCACTTGTGTCTCAGCTTCCCTTCTGGCATTAGCCTATATTTTCTGAATAGCATAATAATTGGAGGTTAAAAGCCTCTCTATGAGATTGAAATAGTACTCCATTATTTGTTTCTTTAAAATGTTCAACTTTTTAATATAAAAGTTTAGTGTAAATTATACATTCCTTTATTTAAAAGAAACACACACACACACACACACACACACACACACACACACAAATATACACAAACTGACCCCCAAAGAAACCTTCAGACAAGTAGACAAGAATTAGCAATAGATTAGGAAGGCACTTGGCATTATAAGAAATTCACAACTACTAACAAAGAACTTTGGCCATGAAAGTGATCAGAATGAACTTGGGTTTTCTTTCCTTCCCTTTCTGTCATAGTCCCTCTCTGTCTGTCTCCTTCCTTCCTTCCTTCTTTCTTTTCTTCCTTCCTTCTTCTTTTTTTAAATTCGAAGTCAGTTTTACTGCAAAGTTTGCCTTTGGCCCTATACTTGGAGCCTTACAAGTAAAGTCCCTACATTTGCATAATACAACAAATTTATCTTAAATTTGGAAACAGGGTAAAGTTTTGTTCCAGAACGGTCACAAGAGGGACACTGGGCATAGCTTAATGATCTGCTCTTTTAGATTCTTCCTCATCTTTGAAACCTTTGCAAGAGTTCCTGAGTCCAAGAGGAGATTGCTGAGATAGCCTGCCCCTCTCACTTCTGCCCCAAACCCTGCTCCTGGGGCAGCTAATAATCTCCTGGGAAAATGTGGGGATGCCAGCAAGTTGAATGTCTCTGAAGAGATTAACCCAGTAAGAAATGTCAGTGACCTGCACAAGCAGCTTGAAACATGACCAACCGCTGAGAAACATGTGGAAGTGGAGCAAGGGAGAGTGGGCCAGTCATTCACCTGTACGGAGATGCTGTCCCCCAGGAGAGATAATCGGTGGGTCTCGGAGCAGGACGAGGTACGATGGGCTGCTCCACAGCAGTCACGTCTCCTGAGTAGGATTTGAGGAGGGAAGCATTTTTATTGGCTAGCATGGCTCTCTCATTCCTGCGGAACTTGGCTCTTCGGTTCTGAAACCACACCTGGAAAATTGTTAGGAGGAGAGAGGGCATGAGGAAAGAGGAAAAACAAAGAAGGGAATACATGAATGAAATTCTGGTTGATTTTACTATATAACACCTTCCAAAGGAAGAATAAGATGGCTATGGAATTCTCCTTAGAACAATAGAAATATGCCATACTCCTTCCCTCATGAGGGCCATTCTTAAAGTTCAAGGCTATTCTAACAGGACCATACAATTCTCCAGTAATCAGGTCTCCAGAGATGAAATCTGTGACTGACCCACAGGACAGCAAAATATGGGTTATAATCCCTGTTACAATGGTAATCAAGAAAAATGAAGAAAAATCTCATTAGACTTCTGCCACTGAAATAATGACTTTTCTAAAAACTTTTTCAAAATTCTTTCTTCAAAATGTGAAAATCGCATCTGCTTTCATAATAATTATTAGATATTTTAAGGAAATTTCCGATCTCCCAAAAGTAGATGTTCCAACAAAGATTTAAGAAGAAAGTGTTTTATTTGGGAGGTGAAAGGAACACCATTAGAGGAGTGAAGAAGTAACAGAGAAGATAAGGTAATCACTAAAGAGTGTACTACTAAACAAGTTGTCTCTGTGGCGGCTCAATCCCATTCAGAGATGTTGAAGACTAAGACTAACGTAGGACACACACTTCAGAGTTATCCTTCTCGGGGGTGATGGAGCTGGGTGTGTGTGCACTGGATCCTGTCAGCCATTGGCTATTAATGTTCCAGCACATCTGGAATGTGGAGGCAGGGCAGTCTCCTGAAGTTCTAGTAAGACACTGCTGGCACAGAAATGTGGAGATTAAAAGTTGGAAGCTGACAAGACTATACCTAATTGTAGGGTTCAAGGGAAATGGACAGCATTGACAGACAGCTGACAGCATTTGCTACAGCTAATAATAAACCTATCAAAAATAAATTAAAATATTTTATTTATTTTCTATTTTATAAGTTCCAGGATATGTGTGCAGGATATGCAGGTTTGCTACATAAGTCAAACTGTCTGTTTGCAGATGACATAATCCTGTACCTAGAAAACCCTATCGTCTCAGCCCAAAAGCTTTTTAAGCTGATATGCAACTTCAGCAAAGTCTCAGGATGCAAAATCAGTGTGCAAAAAAATCACAATTATTTCTATGCACCTACAACAGAAAAGCAGAGAATCAAATCGTGAATGAACTCCCATTCACAATTTCTGCAAAGAGAATAAAATACCTGGGAATATAGCTAACAAGAGAAGTAAAGCACCTCTTCAAGGAGAAGTACAAACCACTGCTCAAGGAAATCAGAGAGGACACAAACAAATGGGAAAACATTCCATGCTCATGGATAGGAAGAATCAATATCATGAAAATGGCCATACTGCCCAAAGTAATTTATAGATCTGATGCTATTCTCATTAAATTACCATTCACACTGTTCACAGAATTAGAAAAAACTACTTTAAAATTCATATGGCACAAAAAATAGCCTGCATGGCCAAGACAATCCTCAGCAAAAAGAACAAAACTGAAGGCATCACACTATCTGACTTCAAATTATACTACAAGGCTACAGTAACCAAAACAGCATGGTACTGTTACAAAAGCACGCACAGAGACCAATGGAACAGAATAGAGAACTCAGAAAAGGCTGCACATCTACAACCATCTGATCTTCAACAAGCCTAACAAAAACAAGCTATGGGGAAAGGATACCCTATTTAATAAATGGTGCTTGGAGAACTGGCTATGCATATACAGAGAATTGAAACTGAAACTCTTCCTTACACTGTATACAAAAATTAACTCAAGATAGATTAAAAACGTAATATAAAACCCAGAACTATAAAAACTCTAGAAGAAAATCTAGACAATACCTTTCAGGACATAGGCATGGGCAAAGATTTCATGACAAAAACGTCAAAAAACAATTGCAGCAAAAGCAAAAATTGACAAATGGGATCTAATTAAAGTGCTTCTGCACAGAAAAAGAAACTATTGTCAGAATGAACAGACAACAAACAGAATGGGAGAAGATTTTTGTAACCTATACATCTGACAAAGGTCTAATATCCAGAATCTACAAGGAACTTATGATGGACCTCATATACGATGGTGGTCTTATTAAATTATAATACCAAATTTTTCCTATTTGATATGTTTAGCTACACAAATACTTACCATGTTATTACAATTGCTTACACTATTCAATACAGTAATATTCTGTACAGGCTTGTAACCTAAGAGCAATAGGCTATTCCCTATTGCCTAGGTGTGCAGTCAGTTATACCATCTACATTTGTGGAAGTAGATTCCATGATGTTTGCCCAATGACAAAATTATCTAAAAATTCATTTCTCAGAAGAGATCCCCATTGTTAAGCACTGTATGACTGTAATCTGTTGAAATTCACATAAATAATACATGGCTGAGTTTTTGAACTCAAGGCCATCCATCTCATGATCATATAACTCTTCTAGAGTGCTATGGAATTTTACTCATTCATTTTCTCATTCAAGAAATCTTTATGGAGTGCCTGCTATGGTCTAAGCCCTGTACTAAATGCTGGAAGGAGAGAGATGAGAAATTTATTATCTGCTTTTAAGCAGCTCGCAATCTATTAAAGGAAGACATGTAAAATTTGAAAAACTACAAAACAATATTTTAAGTGCAATTACAGAAATGTATAACAAGGTAATGGAGAAGAAGAAAGTTATTTTTGTGGAGTGAGCAGCTGTACAGCTCTAGGGACAACATACACATAAAATACCATGTGATCAGTGCCAATTTCCTGTGTGGAAATTGGCCAACGTGGAATCTGGACTTGTCTTCCCCGACTCCTGGCTCTTCTGTTTCTAATGTGCCTTCACATTGCTGCTAGAGCTATCATCTTAAATGTTAATCACATTAATGCCTTGTTTTATATCATCTACTGACTCCCCATTACTCACAAAATAAAATAGAAACTTTTTACCACAGAACAAAGACTGTTCAGGAATTAGCTCTTTGTCCATTGATCCAGCCCCAAGCCACATCACTCTAACCTCATGCACTGGCCCCCTATGGCTCCAGCTCCTACCCTGTGCTGAAGATTACCTATGGACTCCCAAATGTGTTAGGCTATTTCCCACCTAAAAATATTCATACCAGATATGCCTATCATACTCTTCCCCTCTTTGTCCAGGTGTCAAAGCCCACATATTTTTTTCAAAATTCAACTTTAACATCGAACATCTCTTAAAAGTCTAACAGAGTTGGATAAAAATAGTGGCTACACTACTTTCAAGTTTTGTCCTGGGAGCTGTTTAATTTCTCTACTCCTTTGTCTCCTAATCAATTGGAGATAATAATAATATCTAACTTACAGGATAGTTTTGAGAGTTGGCCCAGAATGGGTGCCTAATAAATATAAATTCTCTCCCTTTTCCCCCAGACAGATTAATCATTCCTTCATCTGATCTATCACTAATTATTTTACATACCATTGAATAGGAATCATATTATGATATCTCAAGTGTATGGTTCGCACACCTCTCTTCTCTGTCCCAGTCCAAACATCCTTAAGGAGAAGATCAGTGTCTTATTTATCCCCAGCAAACCAAAACCGGGTTCAAGAGCATAATATGTGCTTGATAAGTGTTTGAGGAAAAAAAAAGGAAAAAGAAGAAAAAAATAAATTTTGCAAAGATGAATTAAACATGGCCTCCATCCAAGAGACCTCCTCAGTCTTGTGGGGGAAGTTGGCCCAGATACAACTCAATATAAGACATCTCATGTTATGTTAAATGCCGTAAATATAAAGAAGCCCAGAGTCAGAAGGGATTGGTTCAGATGGGGAAAAAGAAGGCTTTCATGGGGGAAGAATAAAGTCATGAAGGGAGAACTCTGTCCTACTCACTTAGGAAATGTTCACAGCTCTAAGTCATTAAATTATAGCAAGGTGGGAAGAGATAAAGAAAAAATAGTTCCAACATATAAGAAAGGCACTTCCCTGTCATGATAGGGGTGAGACAGTCCCCCAACCAACCCCAAAACTGGTCCTTCACTTTTTTTTTTTGAAATGTCCACCATTGTCCTCTGCAGGTTTCCTTATTTAAAATTTAGATCACCATAGCAAAAGTGGCACAGTAGTGTGCTGTGGGTTACTGGACTAAAATTATTCATTACACCACTGCAGGCTGAGGTGGGACATAAAAGACATGGCGTGTTTGAGGAGAGAGGAAAGGATTTAAGAGCAGAGTTGGAGATTTGTAGTAAGTAGTGTGGGGGAAGAGGGTGTGGGAGACAAATTTCATAATCTGCACTGGATGGTGAATGGGAGAGCAAAACTGAGTGTGAGTGTTGTCCCTATGGGTCACTCTCAGTTGAGCCCAAAGGGGCACCTTCACTCATACTTCCTCCTAACCCACCCGGGGCTGCCATGACTTTCTTCTTTTGTCACTGACATTTTTCTTTTTTCTCTTGGGGAGCACCTCTTGGTGAGGTCCCTGTTTCCCCATGGGGAAGCTTCCATGCTTTCTTTTCAGGCTGAAGGGAGCACCAGGATCTCTGCATCAACTCCACAGCTGTCTCCCACTGTGTACTGTGCCTCCTGCATGGGCACAGACCCTAATCAACGGTGTAGGAATCTACCTTGGGGTCTAGCTCAAGTTCCAGCTGGTCAAGAAGGTTATTGTTTGCAGAAAGAAATTCTTAACACTCAGACTGAACATAGATATACAAATAATAATTTCATAAGACAGATTGGACCTCCCCACCTTATCAAGACAGCATCTTGCTACTGGCAATATGGAAGACAATAAGATCTTTCAGCAGAGACAGCAAAGTACTACTTGGAAAAGGCATTTAGCCAGGAGACTCTCATTCATTCATTTTTTTGTTTTTTACTTATTCATTTTTTAGTGATTAACAGCATGAACTCTGGTTCTGCATATCTGCATTTAAATCCATTTCAGATACTTCCTAGCTATGTGATGGTGTGCAAAATACTTTAACTTCTCTGTACTTCAGTTTTCTCATCTGCAAAATGAAGAATACTATCCACATCATTGAATGGGTGTGAGGATGAAATCAATAGCTTATGTAAAGAACACTACTAGCCATGTAAGGGCTCAAGTAGTATTAGTTATTAAATATTGTTATTGTTATGACTTGATCACAAGTTATATCTTGTTCCAGAGATCTGGCTTGCAGTTGGTGTGTCATGGCAATAATGCTAGAAAGAATGGCTATTCTCGTTATCCTGCCTTTCATGTTCTTACCCTTTTTCAGTTCACAGAGAGATTTGGAGGGTAAACAAAATCATCCACTTGAGTGTGCTCTTAACTCAGTTCCTGAGTATTCATTTCCCAGTCCGTCAGTGCTCATATCATGTGTACTTACAACAAGTTTCTTGAAGACTGGAGAGGAGAACTGAGGTAGGAGACAGAGAATTCATCTCTTTAACCACTATCAAGCTCAAATTGAAATCTAAGGGTGCTGATTAAAATGCTCAGATGGACAATGTATATCACGTAAATCTGGAAGGGTCAGACACAAAGGGGTGCGGGGAGAGGAACCTGTAGCAAGGATTATTCTGCCCTACCTGAAGGCATTCAATTTTATTTTTAAAAATACTCACTGCCCTCAAAGAAACATAGCTGGAAACAGGATTCTATCCGCATGCTGACCATCGGTAACTCTTACGAGTACCAGCTCCCATATGAAGCCTATAACTTGTATATTATTTATTTATTTATTTTTGAGACAGGGTCTCATTCTGTCACTCAGGCTGGGGTGCAGTGGCATGATCTCAGCTCACTGCAACCTCTGTCCCCCAGGCTCAAGTGATTCTCCCACCTCAGCTGTCCAAGAAGCTGAAACCACAGGCACACACCACCATGCCTGCAGCTACCGTGCTGGGCTATAATGTGTGTTTTTAAATAACCTTCAGAGATGTGCCTCTGAGGAGGTGACTTCTTGGTGCCAGCCTCCCACAGCTTGAGTTACCTGCACTCTGGCCTCAGTGAGGTTCACCCGGCGGGCAAGGTCTTCTCGCACAAAAGCATCAGGATAGTGTGTCCGCTCAAAGACACGCTCCAAAGCCTGCAGCTGGCTGCTGTTGAAAGTTGTCCTATTCCTTCGCTGCTTTCTCTTCTTTTTTTCCTCTGAGTTCAGCTGATCATCTGGAATACAACACACTGATGAAAAGAAGCCAAATTCACTGCAGGAGTCCCACTTAAGACTTTTTTTTTTTTTTACAATATATCTATAGTGAGATATGGTTTCATTTGCTCACATCTTTATCAAAGTCCTATAGCCAAATGCCACTTTGCATGTGCAAATGTGGGCATTAGTGCTCTCAAGTTCATATGTCAAGAATTCTAGCAATTCTAATGCTTGGCTGTTGCCTTTGAATCTGGGACAAGGCCTAAACTGTCAGAGAGACAGTACTTGCATGCTCCTTGATGCCTGTTTGTCAAGGAAAATCTTACCCCTGCCATGTTCTCTGGACTTCTCTAGAGATAAAGGAAGAAGAGTAGATGGTTTTGTACCTTATTTGTCTTTGGCAATATTATGCTCACTCATGTTGTTTAATAATCAAGTAGATCAATTATCTCCTTCTTCCTTCTCTCCTACCATATATACATGAACACACATGTAGAGTTATAGAGAAGACACTATGCTCAAACCACATTAGAGGGATTTATTTTACCATTCACTCTCCTTGAAGCAGCAAGTAATTTCTAACAGCATTCACTCAAGGCTCCATGCTGTTGCAAAGGCAGGCTTCAGGGGCCTCAGCCTAGATCAGGACTAGTGCTACAGTGCCATCAACCCAAGCTAACATTAGCCTGCGGCTGAAGAACAGGAAACAGTTCAGAAAGATCCCTGAAAACATTTCACTCAAACTTGAATTCTAGGACCCAGAGATCTTACAGACCTTTGAAGAATCACAACTCCATTTTTACCTGTCAAAATTCTTCCTTGGTTTTCTCTGAGTTTTCCTAAAGGTAGTGTGGTGAGCTAACTGTCCAGGTTGTCCATAGCAGTCAGAGAGAAGTATGCTCCCATCCTGCTGCCCCTACCCAGCCCAGTCAAGAGTGATGGATATGTGAAACTGTGCAGAATACCAACTGTGCTGACACCTCCATCCAACTATCACCCCAAGGCCTGAGCTCTGCAGAAACTCTGTGTAGCTCCCAGAGATTTGCGACACTATGCTGTCAAAACTCAAAGTCACATGCTTCATCTAATGAACTGGATTTATATTCACCATAGCTTTTCCCAAAAGAAATCTATGAGTCGTTGGAGTGAGGATGGGGAGAAAGGAAAGCTTGGCCATTCACTATTTAGAAAGTACTCTTGGCTGTCTCTTCTAACATGTAAATTCTTCTGATTCTCTCCAATTATAAACACAACACACTCAGTAAAACTATTAGCACGAGTCACAATGACAACTAACTCAGCTATAATATTGTTCTTATTACAGATTGAGGGAATGTTCTAGATTTGTGTACAGAGTCAAAATGTAGCTTAAATCCAGAAGCTCCTAGCTCAGATGCCTGACAACTGAGCCTCTAAGTCTTTTCGCTATGAGACCCCTTCTTCATCAATGCTTCCTTACCAGGAGTACCCTTGAAGCTTAGAATAGAAACTGCACATTTCTGCTTGATAATTAAAGCACCCAGGTATAGTAAATGCTTGTTGAATATGTTTTCAGAGAAAACATGAAACTTCTCTTGGCCTTCGAAGACTGCTTCTGTAGAAAAGCATGTCATATGATCACAACCAGATTCCTCCAGCCAAGAAGCTACCACACCATTCTCTCTGCTTCATGGTTTTGCGCAGATCTTCTCTTTGGCTTTTTACATTTGTGGTGCCTCATCTAGCAGCCCTGCCTTAGTAGCACGTCTGTGACACTCAGTAAGAATGTAAAATCAGCTGCATCTTGAAAACAGAGCAAATTTAATAATAATTTCTGAGATCTACCAAGGCCTAAAATGTTCCAACTAACATCACTGATTATACCACTAGCTATTAGCAAAATTAGTTAACAATAAGATCAGTACTATAGAATTCAAACACCTGGTATTAAATACCTTTTAGTAGTTACCTTGCACTTGTATTCTCCTTCCTATTTAATCTTTGAAAGCATTCCTCCCATTCTTATTCTTTTTTTCCAAATCATTTTGTTTTGTACTTCAGGTCTTTCTAGGTCATATAAGCCCTTGTGATAGCACAATAATTTGAATTTCATGCCCCCAAAACAGAAGTCTGCAAAAAAAAAAATTCTTAGCTTCTATACCTTCTTTTAACTGAGACCAATTATACACTAAGCCATTATTTTTAATCATATAGAGAAAATCCCTATTAAGCCAATCCCAGGATTTGTTTTCTTCTCCAAAGAAAATTCTTTCTTAGGTACAAGCACAAATTGTAAATCTTTTATGTTGTTTTATAAGCCTATTTCTTCTTGTACTGCAAACTGCGATCAAGACCAAGAATATTTTGTGTTTTGTTCTTAGTATTACAACCTGCTACATAATCTCAGTAGTTCTTTGAAATATTCCACTGTCCAATCAAATTCCACTGACTTTCCACCATAAACCACCAACTCCCTTGACGTGGGAGTAAGGGAAATGGAGAATTATAGTTTATGACAGGGAATAAATAGCTATGATGACCTGAAACAATTCCAACAAAAGTTTCCCAGTGAATGTTCTTGTTGTTTTTAACAAATGAAAACACTAGTCCAGATGATGTTGAAGGTGAGAAAAGACACAAATAACAGGGGCCCAGGGAGTCTGGCTCTGGCAAATGTCCTTCAGAGTGCAAGTATAATAGAAAGAGACGATGAGCGGGTTATGGAGACAGCTTGAGTGGCAGTCCTGGGGATTGTCTGTCTTTGCTCACTAATCACAAAGTGTGAGCTCCCTGTTTCTTCCCAAGAATGCAGAACAGGACCCAGCACAGTATCTTCAGCAGTTCGAAAGGAAACATAAACACTGTAGAGGTTTACAAATGCAGGGCATCTGAAGGACCTGTGATAAACACATTTATCAGATTCTTGGCTCTGGTTGAATACAGAGGGGAGAAAGCAGTGTATTTTTACCAGTTACAAGAGGATCATTTTTTCTTGCAAGAACAACTACAGTGAAGGTTGATTGCGAAACATGTGTCTGAGGATACTGACATCCAATTCGATATTAGGATGTATCTCATTCTTTGGCATTCTAAAATGGGAAGGATTCAGCAAGCTGCAGAATAACCAGGGGGAGCATGAATACATTTTTGTCAAAGTCACAATGTTTCAAATCCAAGGTGTTTATGTATTTTATAATTTTTTTGATGATTGAACAAACTGAAAATATGCAAATGTTGTCACTCTTAGTAAAAACAAACAAAACAGCCTAATAAATAGGTGTAGTCTTGCTTGGGATCATGAGTCATAAAATATTAGCATCTAATAAAACCTGTGAAATTGTCTAATTCAACCATCTTATTTTCCGGGTGAGTTAAATTAGATCTAGAACAATGTGACTTGCCCAAAATCACAATGCAGACTTGGAACTTTTAGCCAGAGCTAGAAACCAGAATTCCCAATTCCATTCCACTCTTAAGAACAAATGATAACATACATGCTGTGTAAGAGAGAAATGATAAGCATCTGACACATAATTGGAAACCATTACCCAGGGAAAATATTTACAGGAAAGACAGATTTTTCCATACTAGCTGTTATAAAGAGAGTCTGAGAAGGAGGGTAGATGAATATCACATGTTGTCCTTTCTACCAGAATAGCCATTAAAAAATGCAACCATTCTCATCTAGACATTAGTTTGATCCAGATGTTCCTGCATTTTTCTTTACAATGGTATCCATAAGTCCTTGATTCATCAATTAAGTAAGTGCAGAGTTATTTTAGCTTAGCAGTATGCCCCATCTTCAGTCTTCTCCCACAATTATGGGAGATGATTTTCGCTTTAGGACACAGTTTAAAATCTCTATGTTCCTAAAACACATCTAAAATCTTACCTTCTCTATAAAACTTTTCTGATAGCGCCAATTCATATTGATTTCCCAGTCTCCAAATTTCTATATATATATATCAGCATATTATCAAATGCTTTTTAAAAGTTATGGTTCAATTCTTTCTATGTAAATATTTTGTCACCTTAATGCATTCAGGTATTTTCATAAAGAAGAGATAGGATTCCTTGACATGTTACATTTCAGTAAAAGTTGAAAGAGTTACAGTAGTGTTATGGTATAGAAGCAGTCCCAGAATATTAGAACCTTAGTGACTTATTTGAGGTTTTAAAGGACCGAGTAATTTCTGAATTCCAATTATTATTTTTAACAGTACATAGCAAGTAATATTGTGAGCATTGTCTTTTGTCTCTGGGTAGTTTTACCTGCAGAGGAAAAATTCTTTTATAGTGTTTCTTTATCAGGTAAGATAGTCACCAGATTTAAAGAGGGAAAATGCTTTGTGGTCTGATTCCTTTGCAAATGTAGGAATTATTCTTTCATTTTTATCCTTTACTAGAAAAGCGGCTCCAGGATACATGAATTATTTAAACCACCAGGAACATACACAAGAAAGAGGTATTAAAAAAGATGGGTGTTTCTAATGGATCACAATGTTTGAATACATATGAAGAACTTCCTGAGAAAAGAAGGCCTAAGGTAGGATACCCTCTGTGCATTCAAATATGAGTTAAAGAGAACAGTAGCCCTGACTTTGCCTCTAGTGTGAAGTTCACTCTGCACTCCTCGTGGCTACTGAAGTTGCACTAGAGGTAGAATGGAGAAGGACTGAAGTGCCATCCTAAAGCATGGGGACCTGACAGCATGTGGTGATCCCTATTCACTAAGGCCTGGCACTCACCGTGCAAGCTTCAGTGAACTCCAGTGCCCCTCATCCTCTTCTGTTCTGCATCCTGTGGGAGGAACCTTAGCCATCCCAAATCATTGGTCAGCCAAATGTAATTTAAAGGTATAGTAAAAACATATTTTAGGAATAAAATATGAAGAAAAATGTGTTTCCTTTGCCTGGGTCACATCAGTTTGGGAAAAAATCTGATGCAAGAAGATAAAATGCCAGCTTCAGTAGCAAAAACCAACTACCACATCAAAGCTTGTCATCTGCCTTTTGGTTGAAAGCATGGCAGGCAAGCG